CCTTCCTGGGCACAGCTCTGCCAGCCTGGCTGGCACACGGACACTTGGCACAAGCTGCTGCTGGATTTTTGGTTTTGTGTTTTTTTTCTCCTTTTTCCCTTTTGACCACAGCTATGGGAAAACGCCCATCTCAGCCTGGCACTGTGAAGTAAGTTTTTTTTTTTCCCCTTGAGGATGTAGTATGGTCAAAACCACTAATAAAAGCAGTTGGAAGAGCATCGTTGTTGCACAATCCATGGGATGCTGGGGCTCCAGAGGGGCAGGGGCACCTCGGGGTGGGGGCTTCTTTCTGTGCTGGGAGCTTTCCCCAGCTGCTGCCTCTCTGCAGTAACACTGCAGCTTGGGGGGGGGTCTGCCCAGCACCAGCACTGCAGCTTCCAAACAAGGGTGCTGGAGCACCCCGGGAAGGAGAGGGGAACCCAGCCTGGCTGCTAGAGCGTCAAATGTAGATGGGGCCACAGGCACAGCAGTGCTGGGCCAGCTTTACTGGCAGCAGCAGAAGGGAGCTGCAGGACAACTGGAAAGGCAAATCCAACACGTTACACTCCTGTTCCTGGGTGCTGGATAATAAAGCAGCTGTTGTTTTTTCTTAGTGGTTAGTGGGAGCCAAGTCCCACTGTCTCTACAGCCTGCAGCTCCAGGAGAGCTTTCCCGAGGCTGCCATGAACTGCTGCTCCCTTCACACAGGGCTGACCTGTCCTTCCTGAGGGCAGAGACTGGGCAATTCTCTGCCTCTCTCTTCTCCTGGAGTTTCACAGCTCACTGCCTGCACTCCGCAGCCCAGGGCAGGTTCACTCCAAGCTGCTCAGCTCCATCCACAGTGTCCCAGCAGATGCAGGCGAAGCCGTATGGTGCTTCTGGCTTCAGTTCTGCTTCAGGAGAAGAACGGCACTCAAAAACAAATGCAGTGCCAAGATGCTTGAGCAGAATATTTATTCAATGCCATAGTGAAGAGCAAAACTCGGTACAAACATAAACCCTCAGTGCCTTGCTCACTACTACACCGAGCCAAGGAGAACAGATTTCACAATCTTGGGGGAGGAGGATAGAGGCTGTTCCTGTGCTGTGTGACTGGACAGAGCTGGACGTGGATCCTGGGTGCACACACACAAAGGACTCCTCAGTTTCTGGAAGTCTACGATGACAGAAAACCTGAGTACAGGGTTTTTGGATAAAGCCATGGGCACCTGCTGTGGCACAGCAGGAGGAGGGTACAAACCCTCATGCCGAGGGCCACAGGAGCTGTTAAAGCCATCAGTGCATACCAAGACAGACTTAATGGAGGCAGCAGAGAGTATTTGCAACCCAAGGCTGTGAGCAGCACAACTGCCCCCAGTGCTCCCAGGGGAGTCCCAAAACGCCTCCCCCATCCCCTGCCTGGGACACGGCTCCTTTCCAGACGCAGCCCAGAGCCCAGCTCCCAGGAGCAACTGTGGCTCCTGGGGTCACTGCCAGCCCCAGCCATCTAGGCCAGGTCAAGATCAGGAGCTTAATCTTCGACTCCTGCCTTTGGGTACCTGCTGGAGGGAGAAAAGCTGCAGGGACAGATACAGAGTAAACACCACTGGGTTCATAATCACTTCAAGTGAACCAGCTCCACCATCAGACAGGGCCCCAGGAGGAGCGGATCACCCAACCCATGGCACGGCAGCCCAGGTGGAAGGAAGCTTATTCCACTGTCACTTCAGGCAGGGGAGGGCTGTGCTGCCCCGGTCACCTGTGGGTGAGGATCTGCAGCCACCCACGGGTGCCTCCACCTCGTCACAAAGAATATACCAAGAGAACCTAAAGTGCCATGACTTGAGTAGCATGGGAAGGAGGTGACCACGAGACCCACCAGCCATCCTCACGGCTGCCCCCTTGGGAAGGGACAGCAGATCCCCTAGAACAAACACGTTCCCAATGCCATAGCTTATTGAAGTGCTACTCGGCAGAGGCAAAGCCAGCACCATGTTACCACCAGCCCTCCCCACTCTCCCCACAGTTGGAAACTGGTGATACCAACACAGCTGC